AGATGGGATTTCCTATTCTAGATTGACACTTGCTAATTGTGTGGCCATCTATAAGCTATATAATATTCTGGGCATTAATCTCTTCAATTGCAAACTTAGGACATAAATTACTTAAGTTATGAGTACATAGAAAACAATGGCCATATAGTAGACCACCATTAATGATAATATTATTTAATAAATAAAAGTGGGCCCCAAGAGACGGATTTTCTTAAAGGCAGTTATTCATATTTTTTCTCATGAAACTGGAACCATTTTCATGTAACTTACTCAGCTTAAGGTTTTAGACAAAAAAATAACTAAGAATCATAATAGTCACTCAAGAAACAGGGAAAAATAAGAACTCCCGATCCCTAACACTGCCCCCTTTTAGTAATTTTACAGTTAGACTGAGGCTCTGTCAAACCTGACCTAGCTGGATTTTCTTTTAACTGTTTAAATTGGATTTTTAGATGGCTCAGGGACAATACATTAAGAATTGAGAACTTCCTCACAGTAATGATATTCAATAATAGAGGAGATTCTAGAAAGATTCCTGCTTAGAGCAGATGGTACAGCAATCCCTTGAAACTCATTTGAGTACTATTTTTATTATTTGGGACTACGGGAATGGATCAGGCTGGTAATTCTTCAAGTGAATTGTTGTTCAGAGGTACCGCTGACAGTTTTTAATACTAAATAATTTGAGAACACTTATTAATCCGTAGAGCATGCATGGATGAAGGTCTGATGGACTGATGACAGAGCATCCCCCAAACTGAAGTAGTCTCTGCATTGGTTTGGTAGGCTTGGGAGACTTTGCTCTCCCCTTATTTAGCCAAAATTGGGTCACTTCTGTGAGGTGTAGTGAGTGGGGACAGGTCAGCTGCAGGCTCCAGCCTGGTCTCAAGTTGAATTCTTCCTTTGTACTGTAGGTGATTCCACTGATATTTCTGAGTTTCAATTACACAACATGTAGAGGAGTAAGTACTTCTGAATCACCATCCTTTCCCTTGATTTTCTTTGGGGCTACTCTTTGTCCTCCTTTCTGTTTTATTCTAGGAGAAGAGATGTGGCGAGTATGCGGTATTGTCCTGAATATTTACTTAAGGCAAGCCAGGTAGATGGGTAGGGTCTGCTTTCCCATTGCTAACACAGATGTTCTGTGAAACAAGATACCATCAGGGATACTGTAGGACTCAGGGCCATCGACAGAGCTTCCGAACTTCAATAGCAGGTGGTATCCTGGAGCTAGCCTGGTCTAAGCATTTCATTCCAGTGATCAAACTAAAAATCAAGAATATCAAGTAATTTGTGAAGGTTATGCCAAACAAAGAGTCAGAATCATGAGTGCAAGTAGGGATTTTAAAAAAATAATATTTGAAAGGCACTATTAGGGACAGAGATCTTCCATTCGCTGGTTTACTCCTGAAATGGCAGCAATGACCAGGTCTGGTCCAGGTCAAAGCCAGGAGTCTGGAACTCCATCCAGGTCTCCCACATGGGTAGCAGGGGTCCAAGCACATGGGCCTTCTCCTGCCACCCTCCCAGGAACACCAGCAGGAAGCTAAATAGCCTGGAAGTGGAACAGCTGGGACTTGAACTGGCTCTGATATGGGATGCTGGCATGGCAGGCGCTGGCCTAACCTGCTGCACCACAATGCTGGCCACTTTTTTGCCATTTTTAATTCTATTTTCATTATGAAGATGTCATTAGATACTATGTTAGATATGTAAAATCTGTGTCAACAGAAAAGGAATTTCGTAAAAACCTTTAGTGCCGGGCATTTAAAGTTATCAGGTAAAAGACAGGCAGTAAGCTGATTTTCCTTAACATCTGTCACTACCTACCAGGCAGAAGAAGCCTACGGATGCACTGAGGAAAACAAATACTTCCCTCTGCTATTTACAAAATCAACACCCTCCTCAAGGAGATAGGAAATATTTTGGAAGGAGACAACAAATCTTCACATTTTAAGCTGCAGTTCAAACATCCAAACACGTACCATCTAGGGTGCATACATGTATCTCTGTGTTCAGGTGTTTTGTGTCTGTGTGTCTGGTCTGTGCATGCAGGTGTTTGTGGGTATTTGTGTAGGTGCCTCTCTGGGATCACATGCTTGCACATAAGCATGGATATCTGTGTATATATTTGATCTACATGTGTGTCTGTGTGTACTCAGGCCCCAGGCATAGCAAGAGAGTGCATCTTTCACTCGGTATTGGCAGACTTGCCTTGCAAGTTTCTGATAGTCATTTAATTGCTGTATGCTCCCAGTGCTGGACATAAGAAGCCACGGAAGAAACACTGGGACATGGCTATTGAATCCTTTCCTCATCTCTGGAGTCTCACAAATCCTTTGACTCTTCAAATACAGATCTTTAAGAACTGGGAGCACCTCTGCTATGGCCTGGGAAAGCAGTGAAAGATGGCCCGAGTCCTTGGGCCCCTGCACATGCGAGGGAGACCTGAAGGAAGCTCCTAGCTTCGGATCAGTGCAGTTCTGGCTGTTGCGGCTATCTGGGGAGTGAACAAGCGAATGGAAAACCTCCCTCCCTCCCTCCCTCCCTTTCTCTCTGCCTCTCCTTCCCTCTCTGTGTAACTCTGACTTTTAAGTAAATAAATCTTAAAAAAAAAAAAAAAACAAAACTGGGAGCACAGAAACATTGTAGTTATAGGAGGCCTAAACTGTGGAATTAAAAGAAAAGCAGAGGAACAAAATGGCTGACATGGGATTACCTAGTTTGAAAATTAGAGAAGATAATCCTATTTACAAAATTTCATTTTTGTTTAGCAAGATATATAGACTCAATTTTGCACAGAAAATTGCTTGGGAAAAAAAAGTCTCTCAGTAGAGCCCTTTAGAACCAATTTAATATTTTTAATAAGGCAAATCTTTTGATTCTATTTGGCCATGAAATCTTAAATTCCAATGCAAGTCTCTCTTCAATAAATGCTGCTTTACAAATTTTATTGTCTGTTTAATGACCTAAGAATATTAACATTCTTTAGACACTTAAATGTAATCATAATGACAAACACTGGGTTTTTTAAACTGCCTTTCAACTATGTGTTTGCCATTTAATGCCTATAAACTATGAGTGTGTCTTTCTGATAGTTTGTGTTTCAAAATTATAAAGTCAGTTTACTCAGAGGTCTGCAAATTTCTAAGCAACTGTGCCTTATCACCAAGCAATCATTTAGAAACATAAAACATGATATATAGTATAACCAATAAGAACACTGGAGAGCCTTTGCATTTCTTTCATTCACAGTGAAAAAACATGTGGGCAGGAGTTAGTCCCATCATGAAATTATGACACCATCACTCCCAGAGAGGTGGCCGGGGCACTTTCAGCCAAGAAAGCAACTGAGGCCTTCCTGTCTGCATCGATGTCATCTTGTCCATCTTGGCTAAAACTGCAACCCTATGCAAGCTTCCCTGCATAGTTTCCTTGTTCTCCATGACAGGCCCCCATCACACATACATTTTAACTTAGTCATCTTACTTGCTGCTTCCTCCATTAGAATGTAAGCTTTACTTGGGCAGGGCTATTTGTTCATTCACTATCAAAATCCTGGCACCAAACACAATGACTGTTACGTAGGAAAATGAATGAATGAGATCAGTACCTGGTCATTATACAGATGTTCATCTGTCTGCAGCCAAGAGAAACCTGGAAGCTATTAGGAGTGCTTCACTAAGTCTTGGTTGTTTTAATTGATTTTCAATTCTAATATGTCAAGGATCAGAAGACAAATTGGTTATTTTTCATGTTGTCTAGTATTGGCATCAACAGCAGTTTTTGTCTGTTCACTTCTTTTCTCCATGAAGAATCAGTATAGCCCATGCCTCAGATGCTAAACTTAAAATTACAGAGATGCATAAACCATAAAGAGGGAGCTTCCTTCTCCTCCTATTAGAGCTTAGGTGTAAATTTCAAACCCACTCTCCAAGGAAGTTACCCCTATTTAATGTTCATAAATCCTATTGTATATTGAACTTCAAGAAATCAAAGCATGATTATAAACAGCACTAATATTAAAAGGCACCTTTTTTTAACCACTCTGTTTCTACAGTACTTGAGATATCTGTCAAATTATCCCACTGCAGACTGGAAAAGGGGGGCTGTGTTAGAAGTCATGGCCCAACTGTCAGTGATGTGTCTCTACATTTTACAGTTTGGTAATCACCACTGAGCAAACTCCAACTTCGTGCACCAGCTGCAACATGAGAAGATGGGCCTGTGCAGATCTTTAAAGAGAAAGAGCCAGAGCAGATGGACCAGAAGAACATCAACAAAAATCCCAGGATATGGTTGCTTTCATGCATCTTCGAGAGGGGATTTCCTCTGTGTTTACACAATCACGTAGAGAGTGGACAAGGTTTTGACAGCCCACAAAGGGGACACTTTTTTCCGTGTTTAAATCCCTCGGGTTGCTGTCTCCTTGAGTTTGAAAAACACTTCATTTTGCAGGATTTTTCTAAATAAGACACTGCACTGTTGTGTGTGCAGGAAGAAAACAGAGTGTGCTTCTATTTCCACCTCTAGAGCCAGTGCAAGCAGACAGTTGTTAAACACTGTTGCAGAGAGCATACAATGATGCAGATGGCCGAGGCAAATCACCTGGACGCTTTCCTTTTGCACCTATGATTTCCCTCCTTTCTTTCTGACCTTCACTTGGCCCCTCTGCTTCTTCCAAGGCCTTTTCCAGACAAAGACTTGTGATGGACCATTAGTGAATTAGGGACACAAAAGGCTTGAAATTTATCTCATCTATTTCCAGAAAGAGACAGATGCAACATCAAGAAAGATGTCATGTTTGAAGAAATTTGCTGCACTGAGATAGTCTATTTTAGTCTCCAAAATGTGTACATATGTAACAGATGCATTTATTTATCTTTAAATTTTACCATGGATTTTTTTTGATGCTTTGCCATTGACCAAGTCATCACAATGGGAAAAGTCAGTTCCAAATGGGCCATTTTAACTTATGACATACAGAGAAAGGTACTCACCAGCACTGACAGTGATAGCTTCAATGAACTGCTCTCTCCAGCTGTTTGTCCCAACCACAAGGGCCAGGTTTGTCTTCTTAATGAGTTTGTCCACAGTACTCTAGAAATGTTAAAAAGAATAAGATAAGACTGCTGCGTTTATTAAGGCTTGGGGTACTCTAAGACCTTGTTGGTTTTGAACCCCCAGAGTTCTATAAAGGGTAGCAGATGTTAGGTTCAGAACAACTGCATTGGCATCAAACACTATTACGATTATGCAGACAAGCATTGTCATTAGTTGGAGACATTCTGAAATGGAAACTTCTCTATAGCAAATACAAGCGTCCTCACTGACTGGTGGCCAATGAGGAACAGCCTCTGTGTTCAGAATAACAAATGTTGCAAAGGTCCTTCCATTCCCCTCCAATGCTTTATGAGATTTGCTTCTCTACTTGTCTCATTTTAGTGTACTACCTGCAATTGAATTAAGGCACACTCTGCCAACATGACATATCTGTGAATTATGGGAAACAACAGATTCTGAAACCAAAAATTGATATTTTTTTGTTAATTTTGGGGGGGGGGTTATTGGTGAAATGCCACCCAGTAACAGAGTTTCAAGGTTGCTTGCTGCATGATCATCAGTAAAGGATTTTTCTTTGGCTACCCATCTGGTCAGCCTCATAGCTGTTACAGTTCCACTCTCAGCCAATTCCTGTTGCAAACAAGAAAATACAGGATAAGACAAAACAAAGTAGTTTGATTATTATGGTTTAGGGAACACCGCAGTTTACCTTGCATCAAATTACCTTTACCATGCTTTACTTGGGCCACACTGCTTGCCCTTTGTTTTTCTTTCGACTTTTTAAGCACTTCGTTTTGTACAATTAACACTCTGTGTGTTCCAAACTCAGTTGACAGAACAACAGGAGCAGTCAAGCCTTCACAAGCAAACTAAGTAAGCAGGTGTACTCAAAGCACTATCACAAATCACGGCAGCTACAGGGAGAAGGCTCATTTCCAGGACCATGAAGCGACTCTTCCAGAGAAACGACGACATTGACTAGTCTACCCAACATCCGCACACACTTACTGTCAAGGCATCCTCGAACTTCCACTCATTGCAAAGAGGCAGAAAACATGTATTATTTGTCTCAGCTGGAAATCTGTACACGTTTAACACAGTGTACCTGAACTGACTATGTCTCGAGAGGCAGCATTTTATCAGCTAACTGGGGTAAGGGAAATGCAGCGTGAGGGGGCTTGTATAAAAGGCACAAATCAAATTATATTACCAAGCATGTTAGTTCAAGAAGAGTCACAGGAATTGACTTGAAACACTGAGGAGATAAATATGAAAGGGCCCATCTCCAACTGGCTCGTGTTGTATTTGCAGCATTATTCTTGGCTGGATTGCATGTCCTTAGGGTGGTGACCTATTAGCTTCTAGCCTGGTATCTAGACATGCTGGTGCCCCTGATAATAGCTGTAGCAGTCACTCTTGTTGGCTACCATAACTTGAAACACATGACAAGCATCTGCCTCTTCTCTCTCAATTCAGCCATATCTCATCAAGTACTCTGAGCATCTTGGTGAAGCCAATTCAAAGTGCTGTGTGGAACAGAACAAGAAATGACCTTGATTTTTCCTATGTGTAATGGAAACTTGGGGTGGGTCTCTCCAAGGGGCACTATTTGTGCGGAAGCCAAAGAACAGAATCTCATCATGTGAGAGATAAACAACAGAACAGATAAACTGCTCTAACAGTTTAACATAAACTTTTCTCAAGAAATGCCTAAGAACAATTTTAAAGATAAACTAAATATTTAAATAAGCACAAAACCCATGGTAGTTAAAACATCAGTTCATGTTAATCCTGTGGAACCATGACAGATTTTTCCTAGGACATAATTTGCATATGTATATATCCTTCTTTGACCTGTGGGAAACAGGCTAGTGAATGAAAAGGAATTTGAAGTTCAGACACCTGAACTCAGACATTATTCTTTATATTTACCTGGATGCCAGTCATCCTAAATATCAGTGATCAGCCTCTGCTGCACTAGGGTTCCAAGAAAATGTGTAAATTTCACCATCAGCAATGAGTGTTAGTAAAGCTATGCCTTTAGTCAGCATAGAACTCAGTGCAAAAGCAGAGTGGGGAATTATGAGGTGGAACCCAGGTCTGTTCTCTAATCATCTCTGGGAGCTGAAAACAAGAATTACTTTAAAAAGATTTATTTTTTTTTTATTTGAAAGTCAGAATTATACAGAAGGAGAGATAAAGAGGGAGATATTATATCTACTGGTTTATTCCCCAGATGCTACAACAGTTAGTGCTGGGCCAGGCCAATGCTAGGAGCTTCATCTGGGTCTCCCAGATGGGTGCAGGGGCCCAGACACTTGGATCATCTTCTCCTACTTTTCTCAGGCCATTAGCAGGTAGCTGGACCTGAAATGGAGCAGCATGGACCCAAACTGATGCCCATATTGGATGCTGGTGTCACTGGTGGCAACTTAACCTGCTATGCCACAATATCACCCACCTAGCATTGGATTTTAAAAATAGGTTTTTTTTAGAAACAGATAATCGGGGCCATTTCAGAAACAGGCCTGTAAGATGCCCTGTAGATGTCAACAGTTACTGGTGAACTCTGAGGAGATGAAAGCAAAGGGTCTGGGAAGCTAGTCTAGGAGGGTAAGTACCCCCAACAACTGTACTTTTGTAGAGACTTGCGGACTTCCAAATTCTCAGGTTGTCAAAGAGGGCTCTGTATGCAACAAAGATTGAGCCATGCCTTACTCAAGGAAATCACTGTGATTTCTCTTCCTAGCTTGGGTGCATGGAAGGACAGGGTTGGGGGATATCTCATGAGAGAGAGAATAAACCACTCCCTGTGAGAACCCAGGGAAGGGCAAACTTGCTCTGGAAATGCCTGCTTGTAGAATTTCTGCTGCAGTAAGTGGCACGAGGCTCTCTGATTCGACGGGGGAAGAAAGGATGCATGAAAGAGATTGGACATGCTTGAACAAAGGAGCAACAGATTGGTCCAAAGACATGGGCAGTCTGAAATCCTTGTATCTCTGGAATTACAGGCTAGTCCATGGATATTCACTGAGCCACGTTCCAGATAAAACAATAGATGGGTTCTGCCTAGCAAACATTGGTTCCATTGTACGTGCTGTCTCCTCTTATTACGGGAATGAGTAAAAGGAGGAGTTAATAGACGCTCAGTGGCCCAAAGGAGATAGAGTAATTACACTTTATCTTTTCAAAAATCCACTTTAATTGCAAAGAGATTTGGCTTTCACCTGTCTCCTATCAGGCACCTCAATCTGTGAACCAGGTTTAAAAATTAACAGACCCACGCTCCAGAGGAAATACTGAGGCTTCTAAGTTGGTGGTGCCCTGATTCCCCCTTTTGGAACCTTCAGTCTGGTTTTTCAAACAGGAGCAGAGTTTACTTTTGAAAAATAAGTGAGGAAAATCCTGCTTTGTTGTGGGTTTGTAATGCTGGAAAGGAAGAGAGAGGACGTACTTTTCCTGTCCCACTGCAGCAGAGAGGTGTGGCTCCTCTTAAGATCTCAGAGTGAGAAAGGCTGAAAGGTGGGGGTGGGGAGCAGAAGGGGCAGCTAAAGGTCAATAGGAACTTTCACCTCAAAGTCATAAGCTCACCGCAAGGCCTATGTTTTCAACCTCTGAAAAAATGACTTTCATTACCTGGAGAACTGGGAATGCAATTTTATCAGCTCAAGTATAAATGCTGGTTGTAGGCACTGAACCTTCAGTATGTTGACTGCACTAAAGTGGCTAAATCTAATGAGAGCTCGTCAATGGGATGTTCCACTGGGAGAGATTACTCTCCCCCTTCTAAAACAAAAGCCTCCTTTTTTTCAGTAGTGTGAATGCTCTGCTTCCAATAAACATAGACTTTTCAAACAGACTTTTTCACACACAAAACACCTGTATGTCTTCCTTGCTATTGCTTCAGACCAAGCCTTCCCTCTGATTCTGTGCAGTGACAAATGCCACCTGCTGGGCCTCATCCCTGATGCTATCTGTTTACGGGATCTCTTAGTTCCCTGCTAACTCTGTAAACCCGATTTAGTCTGAAGGCCTCTCAATTAATGAGCGAATTTCTGAAATCAAATCTATGGTTCTTTCCAAATGGATCTTACATCTCGGGTCAACACTCTGAATGGTCTCGTTCCCAGGGTGTGCCTCGTCTCTGGGTGGGCAGTGTTGGTGGGCATACCTTGAACTCATAGGATTCTTCGATGATCACTTCCAACTTGGTGTGTTCTCCCAAGATGGGGCGCCCCATTTCTGCAATGCGCCTCTCCTCTTCCTCTTTACTGGTCAGTGGCTGTTTGTCATCATATTCCTCTGTGAAAGGGAAGGCAAGACAGTGAACAATGCACACCTTTGTATTTGGAAACCCCTGGATCCTGCTACAAAAAATAAACAATGAAGAAGGAAGCCCCAAAAGATCTAGAAACTGCCCCTTGGTTAAAGTTGCGGTCTGGAGGGGAGAATTGGTCAGAGATTTGTTGTATTGGGCAGCATATCACTGTGACAGCAAGAGATTATATTGATTAAGCTCATGTGGAAGTGCAGATGAGGAAAAGTATTGCATAGGGGTGGGTCACTGAGACACAGTCGGTTTGCATATTTTCTGGGCTGAAGGAATCACCTAGCAGTTCCCTGTGATGTGGGCTTAGCTTCCTGTTTGTACACATTAGCATGTGCCCGAAGGGAAATACAATTAAAAATCCTAGAGTGACCCTGCGGGATGGAGGACTGTGGCCTCATCCTCTCCATTTTCTGAGGCCACAGAAAATGCTCCAAGGACAAAGAGGTGTCGGAAAGGACATTCTGATCTTAGCTTCTCTGTTGCCAAGAGCCTCTGTTGAAAGTTAAGCAGTAAAACATCCACTTGATGCTGGAAGCTCTAGTTCTACCTTTCTCTGGTACAAGGCTGAACTATGTCAGGAAAACCTTGACCTTGCTGAGTAAACAGGGAAGTTGAGGGTGGAGCCTGTAGGGTATTACCATTCATTCAATTTGTGAGTGCAATTATATGCAAAACCACCACATCTGGCACACACCAGGAGAAGCTAGTGGGTGGGCGCTAAGAAGATGTTAACGGATCTGAGTCCCTTAACGAGGGGAAGCTCACGGTTGGCTCTCACTGCTTGAAGTTCATTAGGCTGAATTACAGAGCGAGCAGGCAGGCACGTGGGAAGGCCAAGTATTCGTCATGTAATCAGCCTTATCCTTCAGGCTCAGGATGCTGGAACAAGATGGGCAACTTCCTATCAGTGTCAAGTGGCATGAACGTCATCTCCAAGGGAAGACCTCGGCCCTGCTGCCCTCACCTCCAGGACTCCAGATAGACTGCTTTCCTCCAATAGGAGTGTGTTGACTGAGAAGATGTGCAAACGAGAGGGTCTTCTTGCCCAGGCTTTCTGCCTTCTACACATAGATATCAGCTTCTGCAGGGCGCTACACCGCCCATACTTTCTGAAGACCAAAGGCTCCCTCTGCTGAGGGACCGTACTGTATCTCATGAGGAAGAGATATTAGCCCCATTCATGGCTCTAGTCATTGTTGCAAAGAGTTCCTAAGAGAGTTGTTCACAGTAAGGGCAGGTGGCAGATGTGCCAAGATTAGCTGTAAGTATTTTATATATCAAGGGTCAACACCAATGAAAGGCAAGAGCAGAATAGAGCCTGTCAATTAATTCTTTAGTATGTATTTAATAGTGTTTTCCTAAGAGGATATTTTACAATCTGCTTTCCCACTCCAGTGTCACCAAATACACTAAATGAAGATTAAATATAAATGATTTTGGACTGCCCAAAAGCTGTTGACTGTTAGCAGAAGCAAAACAAAACAAAACAAAACAAAAACAAACAAACAAACAAAAAAAAAACTGAGCTGTAAAAGTAGCAATAGTTCTTATACTATACTAGGATTGGGATGTGATGACCCAAGGGGAGGCAAAGGATTCTGATTGGAATCTCTTTTTCCTTGCAAAATTGTGTGTACCCAGTTAATGGGGTTGGCTGAGATATGTAAAATTCAATTTACACATTGCTCAAATCAATCATATTTTGATTCCTCTGCTTTCAGATCCTTGAGCCTAGAATGACATTGGTAGTTTTCAGAGCAGCAGGGTATATTAGTGTCTTTTTCCAAAATGCTGGCTAAATATGTATGTTTTGAAGGCTTATAGTGAAAAAAAGTGTTTTCCCAGAAGTAGTCCTACAACTTGGGTAGCAATTTGAATTTAGACATTTTTCAGAAGAGGAAATCCAAAACAGACACATGAAAAAATGATCAGGATCACTAGCTGTAGGAGAAATGCAAATCAAAACCACAATGAGGTTTTACCTTACCCCAGTTAGAATGGCTTTCATACAGAAATCAACAAACAACACATGCTGGTGAGGATGTGGGGAAAAAGGCACCTTAATCCACTAATGGTGGGAATATAAACTGGTAAAACCACCATGGAAAACAGTTTGGAGATACCTTAAATATCTGAATAAAAACCTACTATATGACCCAGCCATCCCACTCCTGGAAATTCGTCCAAGATAAATGAAATCAGCAAATAAAAGAGTAATCTGCACCCCTGTGTTTATTGCAGTTCAATTCACAATAGCTAAGACATGGAATCAACCTAAATGCCTGTCAACTGAAGACTGGGTAAAGAAATCTTGGGATATGTACTCTTTGGACACAGTGGTAAAAAAAAAAAAAAAAAAAAAAAAAAAAAAAGAAAGAAATCTGGTCATTTGCAACAAAATGGATGAGTCTGGAAAACATCACACTAAGTGAAATAAGCCAGTCCCAAAGGGACAAATACCATATGATCTCCCTGCTCTGTGATAACTAACAAAGCACCTGAAAGGAAGCCTGTAGAAGTGAAATTGACACTTTGAGAAGCAATGACTTGAACAGCCCTATCTTGACTGTTGAGGAACAGTTTATTTTTTTTTTTTCTTTAATGAAGAATGGGACTGGCAATGGGAGAGGGAGGAGGAGGTAAGGTTGGGGTAGGGGTGGGTTGGTGAGTATGGTGGGAAGAATCACTATATTCCTAAAGTTGTACTTATGAAATTTGTACTCATTAAATAAGAGGTTCCTTTGGGAAAAAAAAACACAGATATTAAGGGAGAACATTTATAATATATATGTTTATAATATATATGTATATAATATATAATTATATATTATATTTACATAATATATTATTTTCTGAGTTTACTTATAAGTGACAGATTGCTTTTAATGGAACTCAGTGTAATTTAGGTAGAAAAAAGAGACATTATAAAAGAAATGGAATGTGGTCCTACTGTTTAGTGCAGCACTTCACAAAATAAAAGTGAGAAATATGGATGTTTTATTAAATGAAATCAAATAATACAGTGAGTGAAAAGTTCTTGATTTTTTAAAAAATATTTATTTAAAGGCAGAGTTAGAGGGAGAGAGAGAGAGAGATCTTCCATCTGCTGGTTCACTCCCTCAGTGGCCACAACAGCCAAGGCTGAACCAGGCTGAAGCCAGATGCCAGGAGCTTCATCTGGGTGTCCCACATAGGTGACAGGAGCCCAAGCACTTGGGTCATCCCCTGTTCTTTCCCAGGCCATTAGCAGGGAGCTGGGAATTGAACAGGTGCCCACATGGGATGCCAGCACTTCAGGGTGCAGCTTTATCTGCTATGCCACAATGCTGGCCTTCAAAAGGTTCTTTTCAAATAATCTTTCACTCTTTTGTTAAAAAATAAATGTTTATGTTTTATAACTAGTTTCTAATGTTTGGGTTTCCACTATTTTAAGATACAGGAAGTAGTTCTCAAGTGTAGAATGTTATATAGAACCTAGTTAGAATTCAATAACATGTTTTTTATTTATGGCAAGTGATTGTAGTTTTCCTTGTGTTAGTGACTTAAAGTTGTGTTATAAAAACAAATTCAGTGAAGTAAAAATGAGAGGCAATGTCAAAAATTATATTAAGTAAATAAAAATATAGTTGATATGCAACCAAAGTTATAAAAAAAGGTGTGAAAATGACAAAAATTTTGGAGTCTTATCAGATTTCATACTAAAGAAAAGTAGGGTGCCTCATCTCTATCACCTGCTAAACTCTTAAGACAAATCACATTTCTCTCCCCTTTCTATCTATTTGGAAAAGATTTCTTATTTCCATCTAGTTAAATCCCACTTATTTTTCAAGACTCACCTCTTCTTACATAAAATTGATTACCTGGGATTTAGCGACTACCACTGGAACCTTAAATTAATAAATATTCACTGTGTATACTGAACAGGAACATACTCAAACTTCTTTAAAAATTCTAAATTACCTTTACATACAATTATCCAGAATATAAATATACTGGAATAGAACAATATGTCTCACTGTCTTTGAACTGCCCTCACATCCACCAGAATCTGTCAAAATATATGAAATGCAGATTCTCAAAAAAAAAAAAAAATTTCTGTGTGACTCTCCACCTCACTGTTTGTACTTCTTTTTTGCATTATCCATTAACAAAGGCCATTCATTCATTGGATCTATGCCATTGCACACCCTTCATCTATGTGAGCACAGCCATAGTTCTCCTCACCCCAAGCCCCCAACTTCCAAGAACTCATTTGGATGACATATAGATGGCATGAAGATGGACAACCCCCAGTGTAGCATGGTAAAGGCTGAGGTATCAGAATAGGGAGCAACTAGCTCTGCCCAAGGGAGTTAGAGCCTTGGGGCGTGCATAGAAGCAGCTTGACAGGAGAACCTGTTGACAGGAATGCCTAGGAGTGGTGAGGTAGGGATGAACTCCAGGAAGAGAGAAGTCAAAGTAGAAAGGCACAGCATCATGGAAGGGTTGAGGCTATTTCTACTTATTAACTATCACATACATTTAAGAGATAAATATATTTTTGTGTAATTGAGAGATGGGAGCTGGGTAAAATCCTATTTTATTACTTTACAGTGATGCTAACAAGTTAGCCTTTATGTTTTAGGTTGTTTATATTGGCCAAAAAGAGGGAATGTTCTACTTTTGAAAGTATTCTCTCTTCAGAAACCTTTTATTGTACAGGGAAATGGCTTAACCACCTCTTTTTGATCATCTATTATGTGTGTTTCCTTTTCATTTTGAGCACTGGATCAAAAGCAGGTCATCTCACTATGGTCCAAATCATTTTCATTTATCTAGTGATGCAGTGTAATATGTTGTGGTTTTGGTTATGGTTCTCAAATAGGGAAAATTAATTCTGCCTGTGCTTTTATACTTATGCTTTTAAACTCACCATATTTTATTGAGAAGTTGGGAGTAAGTTACATAACATCACAGTTGTAACCACGCAAAA